TTTTTTTTTTTTAACTGTTGGAGACCATTACTATTTTTAACCTTCCCTGTGACAGTTGGGGACATTTCAGGTACCTTCCAGAGATTGTGATAGTGTGGGGTTTTTACTTTGCTCGTGACTTTTTACTCATGTTATTGTTGGTGCTGTGACCTGCCTGGCAGGGGAGCATGGAGTCTAGGCCTGGTGCCACGTGCAGCATAAACATGGAGGGAGCTTGGCAGAAGCACAGGACCCAGCAGCCTATTCTGCTTAGAGTTTTAGGCCTTCGCTGAAATCCACATTTTGAGTACTTTTTTCTTACATGTGTGAATATTATCACCTGATAGAGGAAGTTTTGTGATGGGACAGTATTTGACTAAGGTTGGCAGTTTGTATTAACTTAATTCTTGAAGTACAGTCAAGTCTTAGATTGGTCCATTGCTGTTTATCAGTTTACAAAGTAAGTGTAGTTCTAAAACGCTATTTTAAAAACATTTTACAAATCAGAGTATATTTTAAGTATGCATTAAGAAGCTTACTTTTTAAAGCAGCAGTTCTCCACACAGGATGGGGCAAAGACATATTTGGAAATGTCTGGAAACATTTCTGATTGTCAAAACTGAGGGGTGGTGCTTCCGGCATCTAGCTAGGGATGCCATTACATACCCTCTAATACACAGGACAGCCCATAACAAAGAATCGTACTGTCCCAACTGTCAGTAGTGCCAAGAAACCACAATTTAAAGAAATCTGTAGTGTTTTCGTGAATGAGTAGAATACTTAACTATATAAGGTCACACACACGCATGTATATTCCGTCCTTACCCCACACCCTTATACATATTGGTGTGGTAAATCAAATTTATTTTATATTTTCATTTTGTTCTGTAGTAAAATAAGAAGTCGAAAATTTGACTTTACCTCTCTGTTCTCTGACATCTTTGGTGTATAGTGAAGACTGATCTTTTGTTTATTTCTGTTTTATCTAGAGCTTATAGCTTAGCTGTTTTATCATTTCCAGTTTTCCTTTTACTTCTGGTCATTGAGGTGACCATTTTTCTGAATGTTTTATCTCCTGACATTCTTCCTTCTCCTTTTTTAAGGAATGTTGTAGAAGTCCACTGTCATTTTTCTCTGTCCGACTCTAGTTGCCTCTGGCGCCAAGTGCTTGTGTTCAGTGTTCAGAGTATTGTCACTCTTTAGAGATTCTATTTTTCATAAATCTCATTAACTTTAACTTACTTCTTTGATGCTTAGTTTCTCTAAATTTTCTGTTCGAGATCTCTGTCTTAGCCAATTAAATATTAGATTGGAAAGTCACTGGAATTTCTTTTATAGTATATTTTCGTATTTTCAATAAGGAGCCTTGGTATAGGAATTTACGTGATTTTGTCTGAAATGCTCTTTTCTTTTGTGTTTTATTAAATAGTGTTTTTTTTCTTATTTTTTAACTGTCCGCTGTTTTTCATGCAGATAAATACTGAGGAACATGTGGATGCGGCTGACCAGGAGGTTATCTTGTGGGATCGTAGGATTCCTGACGATATCCTGAAGGAGGTAACTGCCCCTAAAGAGGTGCCAGCAGAAAGCGTGACTGTCTGGATCGACCCGCTAGATGCCACACAAGAATACACAGGTGACTTCATAATTGATCTCACGCTTTCACTTGTCACATTAAAGAACTCAAACAAAGGCAGGTGATAGATATGTGGAGGTAGATATCTTGTAATTCAAGGTGACTTTAACAATTAGATTTTAAGACAGAAAGCTGGATTAATGCCACATTGTAGGAAATATTACTCGCATTAGTGATTCACAACTTTTTTTTTTTTCCTTTTTGCCTCAAATTGCCATATTATGGAATACTTTGGGTAGATGACAAGGGCAAACTAAGAAACAGTGAGTCACTGATTCTTAAGTAAAGGAACATTTTTTTATTTGCCCAGCTGTTTTTTTGTTGTAATTGCCATTGTTGTTTGGCAGGCCCAGATTGGGTTCGAACCCACCAACTCAGGCGTATGTGGCTGGCGCCCTACCCTCTGAGCTATAGGTGCCAAGCCAAGGAACATTTTTTAACAGTACCAGCAAAATGATTTCTGTTGGACAGATATAATTGAGGAAATTTATTTAGTCAGAATATAATTAGTTGGGATATTGGGAATTTAGGTTTTATAGCACGTACATTTAACTTTGGAATTCAAAATAGTAAATTCTAGGTCCACAGAAAGCAAAAACATAGCAAAACAGAATTACTACCCCCAATTCTCTTCTTACCTAGTTCTAGCTCAGATTTCACATCTGTGAATCTTCTCTCGGGCCCTGTTTCTTACCCAGAGATACCTAATTTCTTTTTTTTGTCTCTTTTCTTAGTAAGTATGTTATAGTTATTTATCTGTTTGTCCTGCTGCATGGTAAGTACACTGAAGGTGAGGGCTTCTACTTGTTCATCTTTGTATTCTAGAGCATTTGCATTGAACGTGAACCATAATAGACAATCAATAGGTAGCTATTTGAAGAAGAAGGAGAAGATATTAGGTGTATATATCTAATAGTAACTAAAATTATAAAACAGTTCTTTGTAGGAGTAGGTAATAGAAATATGGAATATTGAGAACTGTGTTTACAGTTTTACCTAAACTTGAGATTGGCCTGATCTTATAAATATTTAGTAAGCACATCCCTGTGCGGGACTATTTTAAATGCCTACTTAATTTTTAAATTTTCTTTTTCTTTTTTTATTTTATTGAGGCAGAGTCTCACTTTGTTCCCCTCTGTAGAATGCTGTGGTGTCACAGCTCACAGCAACCTCCAACTCCTGGGCTTAAGCAATTCACTTGCCTCAGCCTCCCTAGTTGCTGGGACTGCAGGTGCCTACCACAATGCCTATTTTTTTTTTTTTTAAGCAGGCCCAGGCTAGGTTCAAACCCACCAGCCCTGGAGCATGCGGCTTGCATCCTAACCACTGAGCTACGGGTGCCCTGATTTTTAAATTTTCTAAAACTAAAAATTAATTTATATCTAAATCTGAGTGCTTAATTACTGTTTGTATTGTACAGATGAGTAAACTGAATTTAAGAAGTTTGCCCCCAAACATTAAGCTAATAAAATAGTGGGCTGGGAGAATAACCCAGGTAATCTGCCTGTAGAACCACAATTTTTTTTTTGGAGACAGAGTCTTACTTCATCGCCCTCTGTAAAGTGCTCTGGTGTCATAGCTCACAGCTTGGGCTCAAGCAATTCTCTTGCCTCAGCCTTCCAAATAGTTGGGACCACAGGCCCCACCACAGTGCCCAGGATGGGGTCTTGCTCTTGCTCACGCTATTCTTGAACCTGTGAGCTCAGGCGATCCACCCATCTCAGCCTTCCAGAGTGCTAGGATTACAAATGTGAGCCACAGCGCCCAGCCAGTATCTGAATTCTTAACTTCTTCCTTAGAATCATTTGCTTGAGGGGATTATTGTCTTGCAGAGACATTTCATGTATATAACTTTTTCATGAAATAAAGTAACATATCCTGAATTTATGCCAACAATTGTGTGTTTTGTTTTGTTTTTTTCTCATAGAGGATCTTCGAAAGTATGTCACTACGATGGTATGTGTGGCCGTAAATGGTAAACCTGTGCTAGGAGTCATCCATAAGCCATTTTCTGAATATACAGGTAAGAAATGTGCTAGAGCTTTTAGGAGTTAATGCTTTTGAGCCATTTGTCTATAGTACCTACCATTATGTCCCCAAATTCATGTCTACTCCTTTATTAGTTTTCTAGGGCTGCTGTAACAAAAGCCTGCAAACTCTGAATCTTAAACAACAGAAATGTGGTTTCTCACAGTTCTGAAGGTTAGCAGGCCAAACTCAAGGCACTGGCATATCTGTGCTGTCTGTAGCTTGGAAGGGACGGTCCTTTCATGTAGTTCTCTTGGCTGCTCAGAGATTGCCAGCAGTCCATGGTGTTCCGGGCTTGCGAGTGCATCACCCCAGTCTCTGCCCCCATCACGGTGTGGCCTCTCTGGGCTATCTCTTAGAAGGACACAGTCACATCGGCTTGAAGGCTCACCCGACTCCAGTAGGATTTCAGATGAATTAAGTGCATGTGCAACGACCCTTTTTCTAAATAAGGCTAGATTCAGAGTTAGGACTTCACTGTACATTTTGGGCCGCACGATTCAACCCATAACAGCCCATGAAGTTATAGTTAGGTACCGAGATGAGATCATACTGGATTAGAGTAGCCCCTTAAGCCAATGAGAGTGTTTTTGTAAGAAACAAAAAAGACATAGACACAGCACACATGGGGTGAGATGATAGGAAGTGTAGACCAGGTGTCCTCCAACTAAGACCCGTGGGCCACATGCAGCCCGCGGGGTGTTTTTGCTGCCACTGCCTGTCCTGCTTAGCAGCCCACTTGTCCTGGGGCCCTCAGTCCAGCCCTCCAATGGTCTGAGGGACAGTGAACTAGCCCCCTGTTTAAAAAGTTTGAGGACCCCTGGTGTAGGCAGAGATGGAAGGATTCCTTTACTAAGCTGAGCAGCCTCCAGAAGCTAGGAGGGAAGCATGAGACTCATTTTCCCTCTGATCCTCCAGAAGAAACCAGCCTTGCCAACATTTTGATTTCAGACTTTTAGACTCTAGAACTATGAAAAAGAAGTTGCTTTTGTTGTAAGCCATCAGATTTATGGTAAAGATTGAGTGTCCCTTATCCAAAATGCTTGAGGCAAGAAGTATTTCACATTTCACTTTTTTTTTTCTTTTTGGATTCTGGAATATTTGAACATATGTAATGAGATATCTTGGGATTGGGACCCAAATCTAAATCTAAAATTTATTTGGGTTTTCTATATCCCTTATATACATAGCCTAAAGGTAATTTTATACAGTATTTTTAATAATTTTGTACATGCAGCAGAATGTCAACTGTGTTTTGACTGCAATTTCCTCCTAAGTTAAGGTGTGAATTTTCCATGTGTAATATCATGTCAGTGCTCAAAGAGTTTTCAGATTTTGGAACATTTTGTGTTTTGTATTTTTTGGTTAGTATACTTAACCTGTAATTTTTTATGGCAACCCCAGGAAACTAATCTACCAGGCTTTCCATGTAACTCTTGTCATTTACTCCAGCCATCCTTTTTGTGTCTCAGGGGTGTGGCCAAACTACACAAAAGGAGTGTAGAGAGAAACTGAGAGATGAGGTTACTTTTTGATTACTCTTAAGTTTTTTGGGGTTTTTTTTTGTAGTTTTGTCTGGGGCCAGGCCTGAACCCACCACCCCTGGTATGTGGGGCTGGTGCCCTACTCTCAAGTTATTTATTTGCTTTGCTGAATAACTGTGGATACCAAACTCCAGCTGCCCTGAGATAGGCTAAACATATATTTGAGAGTTGGCTTTGCATTTCAAGGTCAGGTCTGCTTTGGACTATTTCACCTTTTATTTCCTTTTTATAATTCAGATAGCTTTTAAAGTTGACAGTTTGATAAACTACAAAAGACTTGTGCCATTGCTGTGGCAGTGTACCTTGAGATTAGTTGTATAATTGCTTCATGGTTTATGGGTTACTTTTACATATTTTCTTTAATCTTTACTAACTTAGTTAGGAGACAGCTTACCAAACATAGGAAGTTTAATGAAATAGTTTATTGTCTATAACAGACGGTATTTAAAGCAATCTGGAGCTGTTATTGTCGTTCCCTGGTGCCAGGCATGAGGCCTCTCTCTTACTGCTTTGCTCTGCCCTCCTCTGCCTGACTGAGAACAGCTCACGACATCCAGATTCCACCAGTTGAGAGGGTAAAAAGCAAGAGATGAAGGTCGTTTCCCACTGAGGATTTGACCTGTGAGTTACATGCATCACTTTAGCTCACATCCCATTCATGCAGGCATAGCTAGGACCCAGTCACTAGGGAAGATGAGAATTAAGGTCTTTATTTTCAGTTGCCATTCAGACTAAAGTTTGGGAAGTCTGTCGCTCAGGGAAGTAGAGGAAAGTGGATAGTAGGGTACAACTTAGCAGGATTACTATACTTAGAATAGCCTGTGAGAGAAGAATTACTTAAACCAGTACTTCACACTGGAGAAAATGAGACTCAGAAACATAATATGTTCCTCCAGGCCATCCAGCTAAATCAGTGGTAGTATCATCATTAGTAGTGATTTTATGTAAATCAGTATATCCTACCATTTTCAAAATACTACCTCCGTGATTCCTAACATTTAAGTATAGTAATGCTCATTTGAACATTTTGGTAACTATCTAACAAGGGAAGACATTGTTATTATTATTTTTGTATGTAGTTGGGAAAATGCACTCAGTAGGTCCCGTCTCGAAAACCATACAGCTTAAAATGTAACTGCAAGAACTAACCCCTCTTTATTAGTTTCTTGCAGTTATTTAGTATTTTTACAGTTTTTGAAGTATGTTGACATGAATTTTTTTCAGCCTCAAAGAACTCTGGGAGGAATGTAAAACAAGAATTACAGTAGCTTTCCTTTAAATAATAAAAAAGTGTATAAACATTAAGTACAGAGCTGAAGTCTTTCTTCTGACCTTGACTCTCATTACCTCTCTATGTCAGCTAGGATTGCAGTTAGCTATACATATGGTAAACTTGATTACAGTGGATTAGGAAGTAAACCATTAACAAAGAGGGCTGAGTGTTAGGGTGAGGCTGTGGCTTCCTGATATTTGTAAGGACCTGACACCTTAGAAGGTGGCTTTTTGTTCACATGATCACAAAGAGGGGGTCCTGTCATTTCCATGGAGCTCAATTCTCAGCATAGAGAAAGGGGACAGAAGAGGAAAAGGGTCTGTCCCAGACATTCTTTGTCTTAGGAAAAAATAAATTAAAGCTTTATCTGTTACATCTCTGCTTCATCTCATTGGCTAAATATCACTTGAATCCCTAGTTGGAAATAGAGCCTCCTACTCCAAAGAAGAGGAAGTTGATATCAGATAGGCAAATAGATCCATTTTCTTTTGGCCTTGATTTCCACATCTATTCATAAAATGGAGAAGAATAGGAATAGTAAAATGCCCTTTTTAAAAAGCCTTTATTTAATAAGAATATGTACATGTTTTCCACCTGTCTTATAGGCTTACCTACCTTAACACAAATAAACCAAAGGTCTATAACTTAGAATAGTTGTTTCCAACAATGGCGTTGTAAGTCAGTATTAAAACACCCCCTTCTTCCACACTGCCCTAACTTGCTCAGTGCAGTCGGACATAAAGGTGCTTTCTGGTCAGTAGATATTCTATAAAACATTCGTTAAGTTTATAATGATGTGTTAGAGTTGACCTTTCGTTTCTAGTTCTTTTTTGAAAGTTCTTTATTGCCTTGTCTTCCTCTGGGCTTTTATTTTCAGATGCATCCTGTATATTCATGTTGGCAGAGCACCAGTTATCAGGTGTTATATGTTTACCAGAATTAAGCTGTACTTCACAATACTGAGAACAAGATGTTATTGTTGGCAGAAGTTTGATCAAAATCTTTATCAGACTTAATTAGAATTGATTTGTTTAATTTAGAATTCTTACAAGTAAGAGATACTTGAATAGTATTTTAATTACGTAATGCATAAATATGTAAGTCTGTACAGGTACAGTTGACTCTTTAACAGTGTAGGGCTTGGGGCACTGACCTCGCACAGTTGAAAATCCACATAAAACGTTTGACTCTAAAAATTAACTGTGAATAGCCGACTGTTGACCAGAAGTCTTACCAGTAACATGGTCAGTTAACATATTTACTATGTTATCAGTCACGTGTACTGTGTTTTAAAGTAAGCTGGAAAAAGAAAATGTTACTAAGAAAATCATAAGGAAGAGAAAATACATTTATGATTCATTAAGTGGAAGTGAATTATCATGAAGGTCTTTATTCTTACCTTCATGTTGAGTGTAGCTGAGGAGGAAGAAGAGGAGAGGTGGGCCTTGCTGTTGTGAGCGGGCAGAGCCGGAAGAGGTGCAGGAGGAATTTCCGTCTGGCATTTTTGCCTTTTCATTTCCCTAAGAATGTTTCTGTGTGGTACCAATCTTTCTTCCACCATTCATTTTAGTTTAAGTGCCTATATCTTAGAAGAGCCTATATTGTAAAATAAATCAAAAGCAGTTTTGAATAATTAGAACATTTCTCCCAAATTGTCTGAGGTCAGTGTGTTCTCTGGGACTGCTTCTTCTAAGTCTTCTCCTTGTCTGGAACTGGTTCAGAAGCTCATCTCCATCAGCAGGTCTTCTGCTAATCACTGTGGTGTGGTGTCTGTAAGCACCTGAATTTCTCTGAGATCCACGTCTTACAGCCCTTCACTTACTGCCTTTTTGCCATATTTACAGTCTCTTTCCTGATTCCTTATCTGGCTCTGTTGTGAATCCTGTCACGTCAGGCACAGCATCTAGACGTGGTTTTCTCCAGCAGGAATCTGTTGTTTCTTGCTCGATGGCTTTCACAGATTTTTCTATAATAGCAATGGCATCTTCCATGGTGTAATCCTTCTAGACTTCACGATGTTCTCTCTGTCAGGATTCAAAACCACAGTGACAGTCCTTTCCATAGGTCCATATGTGATGGGCCTTAACAGTCCTGATGACTCCTTGATCTAGAGGCTGAAACGGAGACATAGTGTCAGGGGCAAGTAGACCACTCAACACCTTTGCGGAGTTGAATTCA